AAGTGTTACAAATATCATCTTTCCATGCAGGAATGTAAACAGTTCAACCTTAATAAGTCTCTTATGATTTCTCTTTCCTGTTTACCTCTTCATGTTCCACTTGAGTCTTGTATTGGAAAGTCAAATTTTCTATTCAGCTCTGGTCTTTTCATCAAGAATGCTTGAAAGTCCTCTATTTCACCGAATGACCATTTTTTCCCCTATAGAATTATACTCAGTTTTGCTGGGTACGTGATTCTTGGTTGTAATTCTATCTCCTTTGCCCTCCGAAATATTATATTCCATGTCCTGCAGTCCCTTAATGTAGAAGCTGCTAAATCTTGTGTTATCCTGATCGTGTTTCCACAATACTTGAATTGTTTCTTTCTGGCTGCTTGTATTATTTTCTCCTTGACCTAGGAGCTCTGGAATTTGGCTACAATATTCCTAGGAGTTTTCCTTTAGGGATCTCTTTCAGGAGGAGATCAGTGGATTCTTTAAATTTTGATTTTGCCCTCTGGTTCTAACATTTCAGGGCAGTTTTCCTTGATCATTTCTTGAAAGATGATGTCCAGCCTCTTTTTTTAATCATGGCTTTCAGACAGTCCAATAATTTTTAAATTCTCTCTCCTGGATCTATTTTCCAGGTCAGTTGTTTTTCCAATGAGATATTTCACATTGTTTTCTAATTTTTCATTCTTTTGGATTTGTTTTACAGTGTCTTGATTTCTCATAAAGTCACTAGCTTCCAATTGCTCTATTCTAATTTTTAGGGAAGTATTATCTCCAATAATCTTTTGGACTTCCTTTTCCATTTGGCCAATTTTGCTCTTTAGGGCATTCTTCTCTTCATTGGCTTTTTGGACCTCTTTTGCCATTTGGGTTAGGCTATTTTTTAAGGTGTTATTTTCTTCAGTATTTTTTTGGGTCTCCTTTAGCAAGCTGTTAACTTGCTTTTCATGATTTTCTTGCATCACTCTCATTTCTCTTCCCAGTTTTTCCTCTACTTCTCTTACTTGCTTCTCAAAATCCCTTTTGAGCTCTTCCAAGGCCTAGGACTGATTCATATTTTTCTTGGAAGTTTTGGATGTAGGAGCTTTGACTTTGTTTTCTTCTTCTGGTTATATGTTTTGATCTTCTTTGTCACCAAAGTAAGATAATATGGTCTGACTCTTTTTCCACTGCTTGCTCATGATCCCAACCAATTACTTGAGTTTTCAACTCTTTGTTAAGGTAAGAGTCTGTTTCCAATGTGGAGAATGTACTGTCCCAAGTTTCGGGGGTTCGTATAGTTGTTTTCAGAGATACTTCTAGGGCCCTGAAAAGTGTCAGTTTTTCCAAGGTGCTATGATTAGGGGCGAGGTGTCTCCTCTCCACCGCCACAACAAGCTCCACCACACCAGCGCTCCTCCTTGTCCCAGAACTGCCCCTCAGAACTGTGACTCAGATCCAAGCATAGGCAAAGCAATAGATTTCTGCCTCAGCCCTGGCAAAGAGATCCTTGCAATCCCCCTATGATCAGCCACTCGATTCCTCCCAGTCTGTGGGCTGGAAACTCAGGACGTAGCCGTTGCCCCGAGGGCACGCTCTGGACTTGTGGCTGAGACCTAGCTTCTTCTCTCACTGCAGTCACAGACTTTTCCCACTAACCTTCTAAGCTGTCTTTGGCGTTTGTGGGTTGAGAAGTCTGGAAACCGCCACAGCTGCCCGAGATTCAGTCCTCTGAGGCCTGCTCCAGGGTTGCTGTGGCCTGCGTGCCCACGCCAAACTGCGTTCCTCTCCCAGCCCGGCGCAATATACCTTTCCGATCAGCCATCCAGGTTATCTTGGGCTGGAAATTTGTTTTACTCTGTGTTTTTGTGGCTTCTGCTGCTTTAGAATTTGTTTAGAGCCATTTTTTATAGGCATTTGGAGGGTTTTGGGGGAGAGCTCTAGCAAGTCACTGCTTTCCCTCCACCATCTTCAGAACAAATTCTTATGAAAATAAATGGTAACTTAAAAAAATTAAAATGTCCTATTCTGGTTACTGGGCAAATTTCCTTCACTACAGTAATCAATTTCTTTATAGTAAGAGATATGCTTCCAATTCTCATGTTACCTGCAAACAAAACACTACAATTTTCTTGAGGTGAAGTTAACTTTCTTTGTTTTGTTCTCTCTGTGAGAGAAGCCATTTAATTTTATCTAGTCAAGAGGAAAGAAGACTAACCCCATGCCCCATGTATACCCAGCCCTGTCAGCTGAGCAAAAGAAGGAACTGTTGGACATTGCCCTTTGGATGGCTGCTCCAGGCAAAGGCATCTTGGTAGCTGATGAGTCAGTAAGCAGTACGGCCAAGTGGCTGAGCCAGATTGGGGTGGAGAATACAGGAGAACCATAGGCAGTTTCATCAGGTTCTATTCAGCACCGATGGAAGAATCAAGAAATGCACTGGGGGTGTCATCTTTTTCGAGCAGACCCTTTACCTGAAGGGCAATGATGGGGTGCCCTTCATCTGCACCATCCAGGAAAAATGTGTTGTTGTGGGCATCAAGGTTGATAAAGGTGTGGTAGCTTTGGCTGGAACTGATGGAGAAACCACCACACAAGGGCTGGACAGGCTCTCAGAACGCTGCACTCAGTACAAGAAAGATGGGGCTGACTTTGCCAAATGGTGCTGCATGCTAACGATCAGTGATCATAGACCCTCTCCCCTGGCAATCCTAGGAATGCCAATATGCTTGCCCATTATGCCATCATCTGCCAGCAGAATGGCATCATGCCTATTGTGGAGCCCCTTGGGCATCCTGCCAGATGGAGACCATCATCTCAAATGACGCCAATATGCCACTGAGAAGCTTCTGACTGCTGGCAAGGCCCTGAGTAACTACCATGTGTATCTTGAACGGACACTGCTCAAGCCCAACATGGTAACTCCTGGTCGTGCCTGCCCCTTCCAGTACACCACTGAGGAGATCGCCATAGCAACTGTCTCTGCCCTATGTTGATCTGTGCCTCCTGCTGTCCCAGGTGTGACATTCCTATCTGGAGGTCAGAGTGAGGAGGAGGCCTTGATCAACCTCAATGCCATTAACCACTGTCCTCTCCCCCAGCCTTAGACACTGACCTTCTCCTATGGGTGTGCCCTGCAAGCCTCTGCTCTTAGTGCCTGACGTAGGCAGAAAAACAATGACAGTGCTGCCACTGAGGAGTTCATCAAATGGGCAGAGGTCAATGGTCTTGCTGCCCAGGGCAAGTATGAAGGAGGTGGAGAAGATGCAGGTGTAGCTGGGCAAACTCTCTACATTGCTAATCATGCCTACTGAGGCTGTGAACCCTGGTCACTCCTATCCCCAGCCCATGTCACCCATACTAAGCTTTACGTGTAGCAACTTCCATGAACCAAATAGCTATGCAGAGCAGAAGGAATAACACCCTTTCCACCCTCTACTCAAGTATCCCAGCATCACCCCCTGTATTGTTATACCTTGGGGAGGGAGGAAACGGAGAGCCCCCATGGGCCAGACAGGAAGAAGTGGGTAAGAGGCTGTTAGATCTGAGCAGGATATTTGGGTTACCATACCCCCACACTGTGTTTGTGTGATATCCCCCTACTTGTTACACCCGTGAGTCTCTAGCTTCATCCTGGACTCTCATCCCCTCCCAGGGTTATGAGGTTGGCCCCCAATTCATGCCACACCTTTCATGCGGGTGTGTTGTGTAGTACCTCAAATAAATGTTCGTGAAGTCAGGAAAAATACAGTAAAATAAAACAAAAAACAAGAGCCCTGAGGCTGATACTTGAAGTTACCTGTAAGCCTTGTATACAAGTGTCTTGAGTCCTATCTCTTTTTTGAAAACTTTGTCCTCCTCTAAGCCAGGCAATTGAAGCAATTCCACCAGATTCTGCTCAAAAGGAAAAGATCTCAAATTTAGATTTTTAAGAGAAGAGTTTGTAGGAAGAACAGAAGGGACTAAAGAAACAATCTGGACTCACAGCTACATTAAATATCAATATTCTCAACAAAACTTTTCAGGTACGATTTGGTGATGAGATGTCTGGTATGTTCTTTTTCCAGTTTGCCCATTGAAATCCACAGGCAATGTGGTATAGTAAAAAAAGCACTGACCTTGTTTCATTCATTCATTAATTAAATTTTGTTTTCAATTTTAATTCTCTCAGTCTTTCCCTCTCCCACCCATTTGAAAGGCAAGAAATATTATTCTCCAGTGGAAGAGATTTCCACAGCTGGCATTTCAACACCGAAGAAATCATGAGTCTGGGCCAAACTTGCACACTTCTCTATCCCCGCAAAATCCCAAATCAACCTTGCCAACCTTTCACGTGCCAGCCATTTTTCTCATGCTCCTGAAAATCTAGGACAGGAGAAACTGACACATTTCTTGCTCCCTACTGCCTCTGCCAGACCTTCACCCCTATCCCAATCACTCTCTCCTTTGAAGTTCACTACATCCCTGTGATTCCCTTGTCCAGATCCTTGTTGCAGACATTTACTGACCTGCAGGTTACCCTCTCTTATTTCTCAATTACTTTAGTACTTAGCTCAGTCTTCTTCTCCACCCCATACCTACTCTCATCCTGGATGATTTTAATATTCATACACTGATGTCTCTTTGAATATCCTATGCTCCCAGTTCATCAGTCTATTAAATTCCCACAGGAGTAGTGACACCTTAAGATAACATTTTTATCTAAAAATCATCTGCTTCTGTTATTTAAATTTGAAATTTCCCTCTCTTTTCAACACTCCCACTACCTTACTAAACCTGCCTCTCGCCTTCATCGTGTTCTCTGGTTCATCTATTCTTTCTTTGTTCTTTCAGATCATCACCATTATTCTGGCTTCACTTTCCTCTCTTTAAGTCTTGACCCTACAGTTAACCAGTTCAACAAGGCACTTTCTTCCACCCTGAATGTCTTGCCACTAGGTCCTATCATTGTTCTCATCCTGGAACATCCCTATGATCTGCTCTGTTACCCCCATCCCCCACAGCATGCTGCTAACTGGGTTCATTACAAATTCATGTCATCGATCTTACTATTCAGGCCACTTATCACCCTCCTGTGACTTATCTCTGATTCTCTCTTATTCCCCACTGCACTTTTCCCAAACTTTCTCTTTTCTCCTTCAGCCCCCTAAGAGCACCTCCAGGGCCTAGCAGACTATTTTACTGTGAAAACTAGGCTAGCCTCTCCATCTGAGCTCTCTCATCTCAAAACCTCTTCACATTTTTTGACCTATCCTTTCTTACTTTGCTCCAGCCTTAAGAATAGATGGCCCTTCTCCATGCCAAGGCTAACTCCCCTACGAGTTCCTTCGAACTCATCAGCTCTCTCTGTCAGGAGCTGACTTGGCTCCCACAGTCATCAAGGGGAGCAATCCTTGTCGAGAAGGGGCCTGCCATACATCCACAGCACCACCGACACCAAGAGATGACCAACTGTCACCAAGGTAGGCCCAAGAACCCCCTCTCCCCTCCCAAAGCCCTGCCTCCTCAGCCATCATTCAGAGGAGATGAAACCCGGCAACCTTCTGGTGCTACAGTTTCTATTCCTTCAGCAACCACAGCTACTGAAGCGCCAGAAAAGAAAGTTCACCAAATGCCTTAGCACCATCAAATAGTTCAAAGGATATGATTTTATCCATGGAAATTACATTAAAGATACATTACTGTCTGAAAGGGCCACTGGGCCTTCCCACAAGACTTGTAGCCGAAACTTGTTGTTTCCCCTAAGAGAATGTGGGGAACTAGGTGGTGCAGTGAATAGAGACTCATCTTCCTAAGTTCGAATCCAGCTTCAGACACTTATTAGCTGTGTAACCCTGGCCAAGTCACTTAACCCTGTTTGCCTCCATTTCCTCATGTGTAAAATGAGCTGGAGAGAGAAACAGCAAACAATTCCATTATCTTTGTCAAGAAAACTCCAAATGGAGTCACAAGAGTCAGATACAACTGAAAAATGACTAAACAACAAAAATTAGAATGTCAGTTCCTTATGAGAACAGACCTCAGGGACCCGTCTTGCTTTTCTATTCCTATCCCCAGAGCTTGGCACAATGCTTTGCACAAAGTTAGTGCTTAATAAATGCTTTTTTATTCATTTATTCTATAACCTTAAAACAAACAATTAAAAAACACCACGTTTTATTTGACTTGCTCATCCTTTCAAACTACTTGTTCTCTCTCTTTTCCCTTTCACTACTAAACTACTAGAAAGAGAAGCCTAAGAAATGGTCCCTACCTTGCCTCACAACTTCCTCATTTTATATTCACTTGTCCGTCCTTTTGCATATAGAGGTTTCAGGCTGCCATCTCAAAGATTACAGCAACCTTCAATAGTTACCCAAACCCATCCTTTTAAACGCCACGTCTTGAACCTGCCTCCTTTGTTTCACTATTCACATGGCCACCACCCTAAATCAGTACTTCGTTACCTCTTGCCCAAATTATTATAATGGCCTAATTAGGTATTCTACTTCAAGTCTTTTCCCTCCCCAACCTGTCCTATACACACCCTGCCAAAATCAACGTCCTAAAGCACACGTCCAAGTTACTCTCCTGCTCAAAGACATTCGATGGCTCTGCTGTACCCTGGATAAAACCCAAAGCCTCAGATTAGTATTCAATACCCTCCCCAGTCTGCATCCCACTAACCTCTTCAACCTTATTTCACATTGCCACTACTCACATACTCTTATGTTCTAGCCATGTTGGACAATAAGCTGGTGGCCAAACTAGCTCTATCACCTCCCATCTGTCAGCATTTGCAAAAGCTATTCTTCGTGTCCAGAAAGAACTATTTCATTATTGTCATCTTCCTTCAGAGGCCATCTTCTCCAGGTCACCTTCCAGTTGGCATGTTCTCTCCCTCTTCAAAATATTCTTAGAGCATTCCTTTGCCCTCATTACTCCTCCCATCCCCAGTAAATGTTATGCTCCTGAAGAGTAATCCATGTTTGTCTTTGTATCCTCAATAATGCCTTGTCGACAGTAACCACACAATCATTTGGTGATCTGAATTAAATGTTACCCGACCACTTCTGCTAAAAAAGATCTCCCCCCTCATCTGAACTATGGCATTTGTTATCTTTATCTTTCATTTGGGACTTACATGATGCCTTGTACTGCACTTCTGGTATGTGTACACGCTATGGTGAGGTGGAGAGAACAGTGGTCTTTGAGTCCTGAATATAACACTTACCAACTGAGTGACCATGAGCAAATCTACTAACCTTTAACCTTTCTGAGCCTCATTTTTATTCCTGTGATTTGGGATAACATTCATAGGGCCGTGGTGAGAAAAGTACTTTGAATACCTTAAAAGTCCTAATTACCATCTTTCCAGTGAGAATGTATGCTCTGTGAAGGCAATCAGTGACCACAGCTTATTTCTCTCTGGATCTCCTAGCACCCTATAGGCTGTCTTACATGTACTAAGTACTTAATAAATATTTGCTGCTTGACTGGAGCTCACCAGGTAATAGGTGTTAGCTGCTGGCAAGCCCTTTCATGCTATTCTTGTCCAACAAACCCAGAGAACCCCCGAAGGTGGGCCTTTTCTCCCGTCTCAAATGTCACCTGGAGGATGATGTCATAGAGGCGGATCAGGTCCTGGGGCCGAGGAGAGCGCTTGCTGTCATCCTCTGGCTGCTGCTGCAGCAGTGCCTTCTGCAGACCCTTTGCCATGCTTTCATTACGTTTGATTGCAGTCGACAGTTTGATGAAAGTCAGGTAGCTAGAAGGCACCATGTAATAACAGCTCAGGTTATGCTCAGTGAAGGTCATTCAGTAGTTCACATAAATGTCACTGTTGCAAAACTTGGTATTAAGGCAAAGAAATGGAATGGAAAGAAGAGGACTGAGAATATTTCCTATTCACTAGACATAAGCCACATGCAGAGGCTTTAAGTAGTTAAGTTTCCCAATCACAAGTATAGAACAGAAGCTTCCAAAAGTGGCAAACTAACCTTAGTAACTTCCCTCTTCCCCTGCCCCCATTTCAGAAACACCTCCTACCTGTGTAGGTATTGCAAATTAGACACTTTCCCAGACTCTCCATCAAGGCTGTTCTCCCTTTGCTTCTGCAAAAATTAGAAAAAAAGGATCAGGTAGAACAGTTGTTCTCTATCTTACCAGAAAAACTGTAAGATCAAAATTGTAACCCATTGTTGGCTATGTTGACCACGCTCCATGGTATGATGTACAAATAAAACTGAAATGCAGGTACAGTAGAGTCCAATATACTGCAGTAGCCCTAATATTAATCAGAAAAAAAGATTTACATAGGAAATAGTTGGTCACTCAGTTGCTATGGTCACTTGAAAAATGGGCCTGGACCATGGGATGACTTTCTTGAGTAGGAAGATAAAAAATATAACACGTATATCATCCATCAACTTGCAGGATACTTTCCCACCTTCCTCAAAATGATTTTAAGTATGATCTTAGAATCTTTAGTATCTCCCTTAGAATACAATGATAAATACCAATGACCCTTTAAATGTCCTGGACTCACACCGTACACATTTCTTGTCTTTCTTTTGTGTGTGTGTGTGTGTGTGTGTGTGTGCACGCGCACGTGCGCATGTCTGGTGCCGATGGTTGGGGAGAGGGGACTAAGTGTTCTACCTATATCACCCCAGCTAGAAGTGCAGTGGTCACTCACAGCCTAATCCTAACACTAATTAGCACAAAAACTTTAATCTATCGTAACCTGGACTGGTTCATCCCTCCTTGGGCAGCCTGATGGTCCTCTGCTCCTGGGAGCTCACCAAATTTGGGCCAGATTGAGTGTGAACACAAGATCAGCTTCAGCCCTACTGGAGCCAGAACTCAAGCAATGCCACTAACTTCAGTCTCCCCCAGCAGGAGGGATTACAGGGGTGAGTCACCAAGTCCAGACCATTATAGACCTTTCCAAAGAGCTTCACATTCACAGCACTCCAGTCACTGACCAACAAGGCCTTATCTTGGATATTATCCATCACAACTGTTCTGCTTCTAAGGACTCTGAAATTCTTATTAGTCTCCATTCTCACTAACACTCCTAATGCTCCTAAAGTTCATCTAGTTCCATTTCTCTTCATATTCTATCTATATTTCAAAACCAGCCATTTCACAATGCTCTCATTTAGTGTCCTAGAATCCCTCATTCATATTCTGACATAATGGCATTACTAAATTCCAAACCTACATAACTTCATTATCTGATTTCCCTGATCCCAGGCTGTCAAATATTGTTGGAAGGAAATCATGAACTTCAGCCAATTGGCTCCAGTACAAAATCACACTATCTAACCTGAGATGGACTCTCACTATTGCTCTGAAACTGATCTTCTCCTACTGATTTTCTATTGCTTCCCCACAGCTGTGTGTTCTTGGACACATCATTTAATCCCTGATCCTTATTTTCTGGATCTGTAAAATGAAGAACTTGTTCTCCTCAAAAACCTTTTCGAATTTCCTCAAGATTCTAACCAAAAGATCTAGGCTATTCCATAGTAACTTCAAACCCCAACATTTCTCTGTACCATCACCCATCTCTCCTCCTTTCTTCTAAACTCACAATAAGCCCCTTCCCTTGGAAAGATAACCCCTTGAATACGTGTTCTCAATCCCACCCTAGATTACCTCTTGTAGGTCCTTACTACACCAATCCTCTTCCTTCCTAGCCTCACTATCTTAGGTATTTTCCAATCTCTTTTTCTCTCTGAATCCAAATATACTCAGGTCTCCTCTTTAACAAAACAAAACAAACAAACAGACAAAATCTTTCACCAAATACTCCTTTGATTTCGTCACCCCTCGAGTTAGCACCCCAATTGCCTTCAATTCACTGACACTAGCTTGTCAACCTTTGTAATATGTTCTCTCCATCATTCTACTGAAACTGCTCTCTCGAGTTACTAATAACTTCTACTAGACAAAAATCAATAGCCTTTTCTCAGTTTTCATTCCCCTTAATGTTTCTTTAGTATTTGACACCAATGACCACCCCTGTTTTCTCCCCCTACATAACTTTCTTTTATTAACGCCTGACTGAACTGTCCTAGCTGGCTGATAGGGTACTAGACTTGGAGTCAGAGAAAAATAAATTCAAATCTTGCCTCAAACATTTACTGGCTATGTGCCCTGGACAAGTCACATAGCACCTACCTTATGGGATCGTTGCAAGGATCAAATGAAATAATATATAGAAAACACTTTATAAACTATAAGAGTGGGCTATTATTAGTCAGTCAATTAGCACTTATTAAGTGCTTACTATATGCTAGGCACTGTGCTAAGAATTAAGAGGACACAAAGAAAGGCAATAATTCCTACCCTCAGGGAGCTCACATTCTAATGGGGGAAACAACATAAAAAATTATATACATATTGTACATACAAGATATATACAGAGTAGAGGGATGCTAATCTCAGAGAAAAGGCACTAGCATCAAGGTGGATCGAGAAAGTCCTTCAGCAGAAGGTGGGATATGGACCAAGATGGTGGAAGAAAGGCAGGAAGTTACCTGAGTTCTCTCCAATTTCCCTCAAAACAACTTTATATCATGCTTCAAAACAAATTCTGGAGCAAGAAAACCCACAAAAGGATGGGGTAAAACAATTTTCCAGCCCAAGATAATTCAAAAGAACTGCAGGAAAGGTCTGTCTCACTTGGGTAAAATAGGAGCACAGACCAGTGCAGGTGGTATCTGGACAAGCAAGGAGGCCCCCTAGCCCTAGCACAGATCAGCAACTGAGGCCCTGCGACCCTAGCTCAGCAAGCCAGTGGCACAGTGGTCCAGTGGTGAGGCCTCCAGACCTGATGCAGCAGGCTAGTAGTAAGGCCCGCCAGACCCAAAGGCCCTGGCACAGCCAGCTAGAACAGAACATGGGATTCTAGTGAAGCTTTGAACTACCAGTGCTAGAAGACCCAGTACAGAAAGCCAGTGACCAGCTCCCTGTGCAAGAAGCTTCGGACAGTGTCCTCTGTACCCCAGGGGCAGAGCCCAACTTTAAAAATCACAAATTAGGTTGGAAAACGAGCAAAAACAAACAAAAGCCCAGACCATAGAAAGCTACTAAAGCAACAGAGAAGATAAAAACACAAACTCAGAAGAAGACAACAATGTCAAAATGCCCACATGCAAAGCCACAAAGAGAAATATGAATTGGTTTCAGACCCAAAAAGTCCTCCTGGAAGAGCTCAAAAAGGATTTTAAAAATCAAATGAGAGGTAGAAGAAAAACTGGGAAAAGAAATGAGAGTTATGCAAGAGAATCATGAAAAAAAGAGTCAACAACTTGGAAAAAGAAAACTCCTTAAAAAGTAGAATTAGCCATAGGAAAAAGAGATACAAAAGCTAACTGAAGAAAACAATTCCTTAAAAATTAGCATTGGGCAAGTGGAAGTTAATGACTCTATGAGAAATCAAGAATTAATCAAACAAAATCAAAAGAATGAAAAAATAGTAGAAAATATAAAATATTCCACTAGAAAAACAACTGACCTGGAAAACTGATCCAGAAGAGATAATTTAAAAATTACTGAACTACCTGAAAGCCCTTTTCAAAAAAAGAAGGTAGGATATAATTGTTAATACTACCATCAGACTGTAAGTTCCTTGAGGGCAAGAACTATTCTTTCTTTTTTGTATTTTAATCCCCAGTATTTAGCACAGTGTCTATCATATAGATAGGCACTTAGTAAATCATTAATGACTATTGACTACCACCATTTTTGACTGTATAGAGCATTGTGGGAAATAAAAAAGATAAACAGGACAGTTTTTGTCTAGTTTAGTATCCAGTAGGGTCAATGACTTACAAATAAATAATTAAAATACAGAATTAAATGAAGACATACTGAGACTTCTTTCTCCTGTATTCTCAACGCAAACATTTCCCCAAGGCTCTTTCCCTGGTCTTTTCTTCTGTCTTTATGCTTACCCCTGGGTGATCTCATGCACTCTATGACACTGACTACTGCCTCTCTGCAGATGCCTCCCAAGTCCTTAACTCCAACTCCAATCTCTCTTCTGACCTTTTCAGACTTTTATTTCCAGGTTCCAAATGCTTACTGAATATTTCTACTTGGATGTCTCATCCACCAGTAACTTAAATACAACATGTCTCAAACTGAGATCATCTATCTCCCCAAAAATATAATCCTCTCGACTCCCTCTAAACCATTTCTGTCAATGGCACCTTCATTCTTCTAGACACCCAAGCATGAAACACTGATGTTTCATCTAATCAGTAATTTTAAATCTAATCAGTAATCCTTTAATTCTACCTCTGAAATGACTCTCACCATCTGTCCTCTCATCTATGTCCATTGCTATCATTTTAGTCCAGTCTCTCATTACCTCTCACCTGTATTGTGCCACCATAATAGGCTCCTAACAAGTGTTCTTGCCTTCAATGTCTTCCACTGCTAATCCATCTTGCAGAGCCTTGCAAGATTTATTTTTATAAAACACATTTCTCAACATGTTACTCATTATGTTAAAAAAAAAAAAAGGACCACTGTTTTTCTGCAATTAATTTAATGAAATCCAAGCTACAAAGCTCAACCATCAAAGCATTCTATAATCCGGCTCCAATCTACACTTTAAGCAATGTTTCAACTAATCGTCTTTATATGCTTTATATCTCAAGTTGTCTTCATTCTATTTCTCAAATGTCCTGTGCTTCCCTTTCTCCATGTCTTTCTCTACATTCTTCTCTACGCCCTGAATGCCTTCCCCTGTCACCTCTCTCAATTCTTCCATTTGAAATGTTAAGCAATTTATTAATATAAATATATAAGAACAGGAGCCAATCTCTAATAGGTAAGTGGTCAAAGGATATGAATAGACAATTCTCAAAAGCAAGGTTTACTATCAATACCTATATGAAAGAATGTTCCAAATAATTAATAATAAAAGAAATGCAAAATAAAATACCTCTGAGGTTCTCATACCCGTAAGACTGGCAGAGATGAGAAAACCAAAACCAAAATTCTGAAATATATTATTAAAGGGTTCCTTTGTGAGTATGACAAGGCTGACAAACTGGTAGTCACTGTGAGATGGACGGGTTTGGGACTGGCTGAACGAATGACTGGATCTAAGTGGTAATTTGATTAGCGGACTGATGTCAACCTAAAGCAGTCTCTAGTAGAGAGTCCCAAGGTTCTAGTTTGTTCTTCATGTTTACTGATGACTTGGATAAAGGCTTAGATGTCATGTTCATCAAATTTTCAAAGCTGTGAGGGATAGCTATGGTAATACAAACAGAGCCAGAATCCAAAAAGGTTAGAACAAATCTACCAAATCTAATTAGATGAAATTTAATAACAATTAATCTTAAGTTGTACACTTGGTTTCAGTCATATATAAAAATATGGGGTGGGGGAAATATGGCTACGTAAAACTATATTTTTGCAGACTACAAATTCAGTGTCAGTCAACAGTATAACATGGCAGCCAAAAAGTAAATGCAATCTTAGGATGCATTAAAAGGAGTTTTGTGAGGGGCAGCTAGGTGGCACAGAGTGGATAAAACACCAGCCCTGGAGTCAGGAGGACCTGACTTCAAATACGGCCTCAAACACATTACACTTACGAGCTGTGTGACTCTGAACAAGTCACTTAACCCCAATTGCCTCACAAAAACAAAAAAACAAAACAAAAACAAAGGAGCTTTGTGACTAGAACAAAGTGGATGATGGTACTGTATTATACTAGGCAGAGATTGCATTGGGTATATTGTGTTCACTTCTGGGTAAACATTTTTAAGAATCAACAGGAAGGCAGGGCCAAGATGGCACAGAAAGAAGCAATGCAGAGGAGTTCCCATCCACAACTCCTCCAAAAAGATATATAAAATGCACCAGACCAAATCCTGAGGCAGAAATGGTCAGGGAAGGAGCACTCCAACACCCTGGGAGAGGCTGCACATGAGCAAAAAAGGAGGTCCCAGACTCGTACTGGGGCACACCCAGACCCATACCAGGGTGCTGCAACAGGGACAGGTGTGAACTGGTAGCTTTGTCATCTACACCTAATCCTGGGTCACAGAGACAGAGTGGAGTGAGAAGGGGTCTACTCAACAATGTCATTGTTCTTCCCAATTCCTGGGCAACATACTGAAAAAGGAGTAAATTCAGAAGCTAGCAGCAGTAATGGTGTGACTCAGACTAGGGTCTCACTGTCAGCATCAAGCCCAGACTGCAGAGGAATAACCAAGGCAGGTTAAAGCGGGGTCTACAATTCTGACACTTTGAACCCAGAAAGTTTTTCATCTGGCTAACAGGGATAGATTCCAGCAGCAGTTTACTCTTGCACAGACCCAAACCTAGGTTAGTAACTTGCAGAGCTCAGATCAAGAGGGATAGCAATGAGACTTTGTCTTGGATCAGATCCCTCGGGAACACTGAACGCTTACAAGGCCTCAGATTGTCCCTGAAATCCTGGAATAACACAACAATCAATACCCCAAGGAAGCAATAACAGGGTTAGCCTACTCCTTCCCTCCAGAAGTGTGGTAGAGGGGCAGCTAGATGGCTCAGTGGAAAGAGCACTGGCCCTGGATTCAGGAGGACCTGAGTTCAAATCCGGCCTTAAGATACATAACACTTACTAGCTGTGTTACCTTGGGCAAGTCACTTAACCCCAATGCCTAGCTAGAAAAAACAAAAAACAAAAAAACAAAAAACAAACAAAAAAAAAGCCCTTAATAACAAAAGTGTGGCAGAGTTCAGCCATAACATCAAGTCCCAAATCAAGAAGTAGGCTAGAAGAACGGTCAAACCAAAAAAGAACCACACCATATTGAGCTATTACGGTGGCAGGAATGCTCAAGACACAAAGGCAGAAGAGAATGATTCCAAAATATCTACAAACTGATCTAGAATTCCTAGAAGAGATAGAAGCAAGAGTTAAAGAGAGGAAAGAATTAAAAATATATTTATAAATGGAATGAGAGTGCTTGAGGAAAAATTGAAAAAGAAATGAGAGCTATGGAAGAAAGAATTAGAAAGGGAATTAACAGCTTGGCACAAGAAGTATAAAACCTTGCCCAAGCCACAAACTCCCTGAAAATTCAAATGGACCAAATAGAAGCCAATGAGGCAACAAGAAATATTAAAACAAAATATTAAGACCTAGAAAATGGAAAGAGGAGAAAAAATTCAAGAATCAATGGACCATCTGAATGCTATAACCAAAAAAGGAGCCTAGACAACCTATTTCAAGAAATCTTCTAAGAAAACTGTCCAGATCGCTTAGACCTAGAGGTCAAAGTAAAAATAGAAAGAATTCACTGGTTACTCCTTGAAAGAAATCCCCAAATGAAAATTCTCACAAACATCACAGTCAAAATCCAGAGCTTCTGGCTCAAAATAAAAATACTGCAAGTAGACAGAAAGAAGGCATTCAAGTACTAACGAGCCACAGTTAGTATCACATAAAATTTAGCAGCCACTCCTATAATGGAGCAGAGAACTTGGAATATAACATTCTAGAAGGCAATAACCTCCAGAATAACTTTTGCCAGCAAAACTAAGTATAACACTACAGGGGGAAAATAGACCTTTCATGAAAAAGAAGACTTCCAGCACTCCTGATGAAAAGACCAGAGTTTTGGAGAAACTCTGAAGTCAAACACAGAAATAAAGAGAAGAATAAAAAGGTAAACATGAATGATAAAAAACTAAACAAGGATAAACTGCTTACCTTTAAATGAGATGATACATGTATTCCTTCTGAACCCTAGCATCATCAGAGTTCAGAGAGGAAGCCCAATTAGACAAGGCTTGGGAGTATTATGTTATGTCTTGATGACCAAAAGAAAAGAATGGAAGTGAGAGGCCTCTAAGAGGGAGTAGGGGAGTATGATAAGGGCGTGGAGAGAGAAGGGAAAGTGAAGGAATATTGTCTTATATGAGTGTGCACAAGGAGACACCTACACAAACCAGGAGGTAGAGGTGGTATGGAGTGACACCTGAACCTCACTTTTATGTGAACTGTTTAAAAGAAGAATGAATACACACATGTACATGTATGCATACATAGACACACAAACACAGAGCTGGGCAAGAAATAAATTTAGCATAAAAAGAAAACTGGAGGCAAAGCGGTGCACAGGGAGGAATAGGAAATGAGAATAAACTCCAAGGAGGTACAAAAAAAACTTTATAGCTCTTTTTGAGATGGCAAAGAACGGGAATCTGAGGGATATAAATGTGATGGAATCTTTTTGTGTTGAACTCTTATTAGTGTCATGACCAACTAGGATTCCTGAGGACTAACGTTAAAACATGCTACCCAGCTCCTGACAAAGAAGTGAAGTGTTCAGAACGCAGAATGAGACAAAACTTTTTTTGGACATAGCCTACATGGAAATTTGTTTTGATCAACTATATATGTTTGTATTGGGTTTTGTTTTTCTCATGCTCTCAAGTGGACAGGGTGGGAGGATGAGATGAGAAGATGCCTCTTGACTGATTAAAACAAAATATTTTTAAAAAAATTTTTTAAAAAAAGAATCAAGACTTGGTGACTGACTAGATATAGAAGGTTAGAGAAAAGCAAAGTTAAAGCTGCTGAGGTTTTTAGCTTAACTGATTAGAAAAACATGGTACTTTTGAAAGAAATAGAGAGGTTATATATTGAAAGCTACAAATATAAACGTGGGAGTCAACTACTGAGAGATGACACCTGAAGCCAGACATGGCAGAACACAAAGTAAAGCAAACCACAGGCTAAGATAGGATAAATGCATGAATATCCTAGTTAAAGGAATAAAAATGTATGCTGCATGTACCAAGAGATCAATATAGGAACACATGTTGGAGAGAGTTTTCTGCTATTATTTTACCTGATCTGGCTTGAGCTCTTCCCGGACAGCTTGTATAGTATCCCGACATTCACTAAGCAAGGACTCAAACAGACGTTCCTTGGTTTCTTCACTTTCAGCCTAAATAAAACGTTGGAGACACAAACATAAGCTTTTTAAGACAACCATGATACTTAGTAATCAGAGAACAAACAGCTTTAGAGCTTTATGATTAAACACAAACATATACCATTAGACAAACTAGAAAAGTCACTTCAAGTGGCATTGTTTTATATTACATACAATTTATCCTCTCAATGTTACTATTTGCCTTGAAATGGTTATAAATATGAAAGAGTGAATAACAGATTGAAGTCTACATGGGATTCACTGGATAAACTTAATGTAATTTCTCTTACATGTGTCTGCAAAGAACTTTCAATTGAATATTTTATAACTACATATCAAGGTTCCCTACTATAGACTGAAGAAGTCTTTGTTTCTTTCTTGCCCCTGCCACAGACTATACTCAGCGACTATGTATTGTGAGCACAATTACTCATTTCTAATACAGCAACAAGCCCTGAAGTTGTATACTTCTTTCCTAGATCTAAATAAGGGACAAACATTGTCAGTAGGCAAAGTTATATTCTTCTTGGCCATAGAAATTAAGCAGATTAAAGATCACCTGTTGGATGACTATGTGGACAGACAAGAAAGATGATTAGGGGAGCATTCTCAGCAGCACTGCTGGGCATGCAACCTGGCTGAACACCTATAGCGCAAATGAAAAAGTGCTTCATTAAGTGAACCCCTGCCAAACCACATTACTATTCTAAAGAATCTGACAGAGCAGATAGGAATGAGAAGGAGAAAAGAAGCTGGGCTTGTATTACGGGCAGACCTGCTGTGAAATGAAAAGAAACAACATTCCATTACGGTATTTGACTTCCCATAGAAACTAGACATAAAATCTTTAAAAGCCATTTGACATTCAATTGACCTTCCACAAACATTTCCACAGGAAAAATGAGGACAGCCCATTCATTTTTAAATTTTTTTTTAAATCTTTTAAGATGGGAGGAAGAAAGAAAAATGAAAACATTGTTCTTTTAAGAATAAAGTTTATTTTCTAGCTGTTAATTTTTAAAAAAATAAACAACGTAATCATAAACATGCTTTACCTACTTAGAACTCACTAGAGTTTTGGTCACAGATAATAAGAGATCTGGGCCATCTTTCCAAACCTAGTGGCCCACTGGAATACATCCTACTTATTTAAAACTACAAGGCAAACAGGCAAAGTTAACCAAGAGAAACACTAGAGAAATACACCTTGCACATTATGTATTTTATTTCACACTCCAGAGCTAAGTGCTTTCTAATTACTTATTAATCAAACCCATTGACCAAATGTTTCCAACTAAAAAATGTCTTAGAATTATGAATGCTTGTATAAGTTTTTAATGGGTTGTTAGTGGGGTTTTTTTGGTTGTTGTTCAGTTACTTCAGCCATATCCAACTCTTTGTGACCCTATTTCGGGGTTTTCCTGGCAAAGATATTGGAGTAGTACGCCATTTCCTTCTTTAGCTCATTTTACAGATGAAGAGATTGAGGCAAACAGGGTTAAGTGACTTGACCAGGGTCATATGCCTAATAAGTGTGAGGTTGAATTTGAACTCAAGTCTTCTTGATTCCAGGCCTGGTGTTCTATCCACAGCGCCACCTAGCTGCCCTTAATAGGTTTAGCATTATTTAAAAAACAACAAAAATCAAAAGGTATAATATTAGTACAGGGCATAGGAAATGGCTGCATCAATTTACACAATGCAAAAAATATGCCAACACATCATCTTTAAAAGTAGGAGCTAGGCCCCTCCCACTTCTTTGAAGAGATGTGGAGTAATGGGAGCTTTTCTGATATATTGGTTACTTTTTAAAAGGATGCCCTAGAGGAAGAGGAGAATAGAGGAATAAATCAAGAAATGGAGATGATATAAAACCAGAGATACCAATAAAAAGTTGTGTGGATTTTTTTTTTTAAAATAGGTGTTAGGGGTTGGAGAGAAAGGTATGAGAGGTGTGGTGGAAAAAAAGGTAAAGTTTTGTTTTACCAGCTTAACAAGGATATCCTCTATGTTTGTCAACAAGAGGCTAGGGCAGGGCTCAGAAGTCAAAATTCAGATTAAATAGTTGCCAACAGTCATTTAATAATCACTTTGAATAAGCAGACGATTTAAGGTAATTTTGACTGCTCAAGCAAAATTCTAAGCTTCAATGAGTGTTTAATGGTAGTCTTAAAAGAAGACGAGAGAAATGAGAGGTAACTGACTAGTTGTACTTTCAAAACACCCACATAAAAGGTGAATCAGAGTCTACTAATGATTTTGTTAGGGCAGAGCACAGCAGAGCAGGGCAGGGCAGGGCGAGGCAGAACTGTCTTCTAAACAGGAAGTCTTACCTTTATTAGGCATCTTTCACTACTTTTTGCAAATCTATCTTCAAGATCAAGGGAAGTAATGAAAAAACAATAGCAAAATAAATAACAAAACTCCATGTTGGGGGGCATCATGCCAATATGCCTTAAAAGTAACAACATTTAAGCCTAGGTCTTCCAAAAATCAAGTAACAAACTGGCCAGCAGCAGAATGAAGAAGGCATCATGATTGTGCTGGTCCATTTTTCCAAGTGAGAGAGATGAAATATGACAAGCTGGTGACACAAAGACAAGAAAACCAAAGGTACAGCATTTTGTGCTTCATTTAAACCCAGAAAAGATCAATTCCAAGTCAATTTGAAACACTCCAGGATGTGCTTTTCTACAGCTCAAGACCATTTTCTAAACATTTTTTTTAGTCTGGTCAATAAAAAGGAAAATCAAATACCCTAGGAACGTGTCCTCAGATTGGAGACTACCTCCTGGCTTCAAAAGCACATTAAGTTCCTAGTTTGTTTTCCGTGGTCCACAGAAATTGTTGGAAGGTGATAAGATGAAGAAGTACTAAGACAAGGCAAGGCTGACTGCATTCTGAACCCTACCCACAAAAGAACAGAAGGTGAAGAGAAAAGGGAAGGAAGGAGAGAAAGAGAGAAACTAAAACAAAGTTTCACTGAAAGTATTAAAAATAAAAGAATTAGTAGGGTGTGCATTAAGCTTTCATGTTAGAAAAACTTTTTTAAAAGACCCCTTATTGTTCTCGTCTCAATATGAAAAGGATAATTAAAGGTAAAGAAAGAATGTTTTTGCCAGTAAGAGTTCAGCAGAAATGCAACTTCTAAAAAGAGAAAGAGTGTGTGTGTGTGTGTGTGTGTGCGTGCGTGCATGCAAAATATCTGAATCTTGGCATCAGAGGCTAAGAGGTCTGCCACTAAATTCTGGCAGTCAACATGGCCAGACCAACTTTCCTTTTTGCATTGTCTACCTAAATTGTTTCTTCCTTTCTTTCTCTTGAGTACAGTACTGACCAACTATTTGCAGGTTTTAAGAACATTAAAAAGGATTCAGACTCTAAGGTAGCTGAGAGAGTTAGCCCAACTCTCTCCTTTTTGTAGATGAGGAAACTGAGTCACAGAGAGTAAAGGACTTGCCTTAGATTATAGTGGTAGCAAGGGACAGATTTGGGATTTAAATCTATATTCTGACTCCAAATCAAGCACTCATAATTAAGCTAATGTCTTGTTTTTTAAATCAAGACCTGTGATTTCATCAGCATGGGGGATTTCTAGTGTGGAAACTCCTTCTACCAATGCAGATCAATAACATATCTTCTTAAGAAAGTTTCCTGGGGGCACTGAGAAGTTAAGTGGCTTGTCTATGATCACATGGGCAGGACAGACCAGAGGCAGGACTTGAAACCAGGTTTTACTGACTCTAAGGCCATCTTTGTACACATGATGCTGGGGATTTGATTAAAAAAAAAAAGTCAACTTCCAGAGGAACTTCTAGGCATTAGTACACATTCAGTCAAATTTCCTATACCTTCAATAACTTCATACAATGATCAGAGCTGGTCAGAATACTATTACCAAAGCAATGCAAGGAACTCACAGAAGATTTAGTTTTGTCCTTATATTCTACTTCCTAAGACAGTTAAATAGACTAAAACTCTAGAAAGATTATTTTTAAAACAGAATAAAAACTTCAAAACTTTTTTTTTGGCTAAGCCCAAAATTAACCAGAAATTTTATTTAATTAAAATATAGTCTGTGAGCTTTTTAATTTTAACTATTGTTTTGCTGAACTTTTTCCTAGACTGAATTTACTTTGGTTCAAATTTTAAGAGGTGCCCACTGATTCTGGCAAAGTAGGATTTGGCTAATGAGTATGCTAACCCAACCATTTTTTACCACGTATAGTGTTCTTCCTTCTTAAGGGGTTTTTCCCCCCAAATTAGCAATAATCAGGTTTTTTAAATTTCTTTTTTTTTTCCCCCCAGTTTATGCTTGTAATTTCATCTGAAATTGAACAGCAACTCATCTTAAATTTGTATTCTGGAGTGGCCTAAAGCAAGGAAGGTCACATGATCTGCCCACTGCCAAACAACTAGTATTTTTTGTAGCAAGGTAACATAGTTGCTGGAATGGAAATGATGGGAAGCCTGGGGGAAACGGAAGGAAAGTGACTTCCTCCTAAAGTTTGTGACTGAGGACAGGAAATCTGGGTTCATTCTAACATGCACTCTAGATTTTGCAAAAGCAGATTTCAAAGGGCTCAGAGGTAAGAAAACTAAGACCACACGGAGTAAGAGAAATCAGCCCAGGAGGGATGAGAGATGCTCAAGAATGAAAGTCTAAAGACATAAATTCCAAAGAGGAAGAAAAATAAGATTTATCTGAAGAGATTGATGTAGATACATAGGAAGGTCACCAACCTTAGATTTTAAAAAGAAATGTACCAAAGATGAAAGGCAGGCAAAGTAACAAAGAGTAATGTAACAAACGCAAGAGTGTATATTGGTCTTATCAAATTAGTGTCAGGCATACTAAAGTCTAGAATGAGCTGAGGCTGGTGAGGAAAGCAAAATATAATAAAAAAAGTTGTTTTTTTTTTTTTTTTTAAAGACATAATGGGGGATGTGGAAGAGTAGAATCAAATAAAGGATGAGATCATGTCTGGGGTTGGCAGAAGAATGATAAGTGA